TACACAGACTTCCAGTTGCATGGAGTATAAAGGGCCTCTGTAGACCTGTTGTAATGTAAATCAAGTTGTTTGATGAAAGAACCAAAATGACTAGTTGTTCTGACACAATGATGACAAGTGCACTTTTAGTCTGATTATTTCCAAGTCGAGAGAGACAGTGTACGTGTGTGTGTATATGTTGTGGATAGTTATCAGTTCAATGTAGCTAACTAATGCTAATGTCATTCCACTTTGTCTGTATGAATATACAATTGAGTGGTATAAACTCCCTTGTTTAGTGAGTAGATTGATTGACTATCATATAGTTCACAGAGTAACTATACCAAGAAATTCATTGGAAACTGTGTGGTACTCGCCTACTGTTTTTTACTACCGTGAGACTCCTTATCAGTGTGTGTTAATGGCCCCTCCAGGAATCGAAAATTACTAACTTACTTACTTACGCCTGTTACCCCTCGTCGAGGAGCATAGGCCGCTCACCAGCATTCTCCATCCAACTCTGTCCTGAGCCTTCCTTTCCAGTTCTTCCCAGTTGCTATTCATCCTTTTCATATCGGCTTCTATTTCCCGGCGTAGTGTGTTCTTTGGCCTTCCTCTTTTCCGCTTCCCTTCCGGATTCCAAGTTAGGGATTGAGTCGTGATGCACATTGGTGATTTCCTTAATGTATGTCCGATCCACTTCCAACGTCTTTTCCTTATTTCCTCTTCAGCTGGAAGCTGGTTTGTCCTCTCCCATAAAACGCTGTTGCTGATAGTATCCGGCCAAAGGAATCGAAAATACTGCCTTCAAATCTTACAACCAACGATTAACATCAATACCATGTCTTCATTCATGAGTAAACTGATGACTTGTTTAACACTCACCGGTTTCTGAAATGATTCGGTGGTTGACATTCATCTCATTAGAAAGTCGTTAGTCGATCAGTGATAAACAACCTACAATCCGACACACATATGTGCACCAATTGCATTTGACAAAGCGTCTCAACACAACCAAACGAAACTATCATGACCAATATCAGAGTAGTTGAATTGGTAATGGCATCATTTGCAGTGAGATAGATAATGAGAATTCTACACACAACCTCTACACTGATAGAATTGATATTGATATTTCCATTAATGTTGCCTACTACTCCTCTTTCTGGTTAATTTCATCACTGACGTTTTCCTAGAACAGCACCTTTTCCACCTAATAATGTTTCTCAGATTGACTTACATTCAGGAGATTCACTTTTCGATTTTTAATAAGCATCTTACTCAATCTTGTTTGGTAAAGATACTGACATAATATTAGAGACTTCGGATCTCCACCAGTAACCATGCATATAGATTTGGGATCTCATTCTATTGCTCTGAGTCCAAAATGTCACTTTACATTAAGTCTACGTTAACGGATAAACCAGTTGGTTGTGTCGACTACTTTACTTATCTCGGAGGTTCCAACAGTCCTGAGGCAACTTGGATATGCATTGAGAAACCTAATCTGACTTTTTCTCACTAACGTCACTCATCGCTCAGTCATGTTATCCATCTGGCAACCGAGAAACACGTATAATGTAAGGCAATACACCCTATTTTACTCTATGTCTCCGAAACATTGTCTGTTAAAGTGAAAGATTCAAGGTATTTGATCAATGATGTCTTCGAAGTATTACTCGTATGTCATGAAGTGAACAGGTTATCAATGTTGGCATTCGTTATGATGGTAAACCGTTTGTTCAGGTTGTAAATCTTCATCGACTGGAATGGTCAGAACATGTGATGTGTATGCCTCATTACAACCCAAATCAACAAATACCGTTCACTTGTGTGAAAGTAAGTTGGAACAAAACCATAGATACTAAGTAAACCAGAGAGATGGTGTTAATTCATGAAATTACTGGCTGTTAGTATCAACCACATAGGTGAATACAGATTAATTAGTTATGATCAATGCAATAACTGCGGTCATTAGCTACAGACTTTTGGTGGTATGGATAAGAATCGATCACAGTAGTGCAGATGAATTCATTATCTATCATCCCCATGTTCCACAAGATCTTGAGTTCCGGTATTCCATCATGCATATCTTGTCAATCTGACCATTTGAACATTATTTCTAACATTCACTCTTTATCAGCATCGTTGGTAGTACAATATTTCGACCACTCTGCTATTCAGACTGTAGTCAGACATCAATAATATGAAACTAGATGTTATCGTTTAGGATACCACAAGAAACACCAACACCCCTGAGAATAGGGGTAACGATTAATGACAAACAACAAATAACATGGAATCTGTGTCCATTAGTACAGTATATCCTCTCGACCAACTTCAACAATCTACCATCAAAATACAGTACACACAATGACAGATCACTTGAATTAGTCACCATATTTTAACTTGATCAATAGCACTCATGAAAACACTAAACACAAGACAAGTGTAACATCAACCACTACTCAGTGGTCAGTTAACATTACGTCGTAGACATTATTCAATGATTCTACAACACAACTATTTCATGTTCATACTTTATATAACTAGAATTATCACTATTGTAAGCAAAGATGGATAGTGGCTAGTTGCGGAATCCACTTTGACGCACGTTTCGTCCTATTTGGGACTCGTCAGCTGGATGTACCTGCCACATCTGAGAATTGTTGATGTTCACTCTGGGACTCGAACACAGTACCTTTCGCTTCAAACGCCATCACGTTATCCACTCAGCTACTGAGTTCTGATAGTCACTTGCTTGTGCAATGGGGTGAAGTTTAAATTCACTTAGTATTACTTCTTTGAATCTTCACTATTATCATTATTATGATTATTTATATAAAAGTGACCAAATCCAAGACACACTAACACACATCCACACCCACTCTCTCCCCCCCCACACACTCACACTTTCGATTATATTCGTATTGTTTGCACCAATAAAATCATTGATGCATTAATCGAAATGAATCAAATTAGGGTGTTTAACCTTAGTACAATGGTAACTAATTGATTTCCGAACACCATAACAACAACAACCACATGGATACCAATCATCATCATTCAAAGAGGGAATAATTTTGATTGATTATAAACTCCATGGATAATTCGTTAATCCTAAACTTTCCTATCACTTCATTAATAATCAATTAGATACTTTGATTCACATATTCAATCACCTTAACATTGTTCGATCACTTAACAACTTATACTACTTGCACACTCCCTATTGGCTTCACTTCACTTCTCCATATGATGATGATGATGATGAGGTTGATATGAGTAGTATATATCCATTTATTATAATATACAAAACAGGTTACTCTCTTTCATCTCACCTCAATAAGTGAAAGGATAAACAAAGTGTTGCTATTTGTATGTTCATAGTTGAAAAAAGAAGATAGTCAACCAGTCAGTTGATGATGATGAAGAAGAAGCCAACTGTATTGAAGATCGTGAAGATGAAGATCAGGAAGAAAGAGAAGAAGGCGAAGAAGAAGAAAGGAGAGAGAATCACTTCATGATTCATTTAGTTATTGATGCAGAAATTAAATTAAAAATTTCATTTCAACATTCAATTGGATTATTGTCCTTACTATTCTCAATATTGATTATTATTATCATTATTAATGTTATGGTGATTATCATCATCACCCCCATCGCCCCCCCCATCATCATCATGGAAGCCTCTTTTTTAAATAAATAAAAAATGAAAATTGAATATTTGATGAGTAGATAATTGAACTTTTAATCCCCATACGTATAGAGTTAGTCAGCTTATTTGTTTGCTCTCTTGTTGGTGTTATGTATGTACACACACACACACACACAGAGGGACACCTTACATATACATGTGCACATATCTACAAAGAAAGAAGTCGGTAAACATTCAACTTGTCTTATTGAATCACTTTTTTTTATTCAAATGACTTTTGCCAAAATAATTTGCTAAAAATTATCTATTCAATAATAATAGATGCTTTCATGGTTATCATTATAGCGACTATTAATGGTAGTAGTGACCAATGGAGTTCAACAGGGTCTGTTGTATGATGGTAACTCACTGAAGATAATGTTGAACAGTGGCACGATTTCGTGAATTGGTTGAAGGTGGACATGAACACCGTTAAATTCCAGCCAACTCAGTAGTCTAGAGGTTGAGTGCTCGCGTGCGTAACCGCTAGGTCCTTGGTTCGAATCTCGCAGAGCGGGATCGTAGATGAGCACTGCCGAAAAGTTTTATACTTAGACGTAATGGCTGTTCAGTGCTTCCAGGTTATCCATGCTATTACGGCTTCAACTGACCCATTGAAGACAATGGTGGTCAGTAGCTCAATTTCTTGGATTGGTTGAAGTTAGGCATTAAGACCGTTAGATACCAGTCTGTACAGTGTTCTAGAAGTTAGGCGTGTGCACTTGAAACCGAAAGGTCATGTGATTGAACCTCACAGGGAGGGATTGTTGATGCGCACTGCTAAGGAATCCCAGACTAGGACGTAACAGCAGTCCATTGCTTCGAGGTTTTCCATAGTGGTCTAGTATCAATTGACTCATGAATTCGACTATAAGCTTACTCAAATCTCCATAAAACTACACTCTGATTAATAACTATCATAAGAAAACGATATAACTCTATTCACATTTGATGAAAGTTTTTCAATCACTTTCACATTATTTAATTCAATGACAAATTTTTTATTAGTAGTATATACTTAATAAGTAGTTTCAATTATCTCATCAGTCTTATTTGTTTTCAACTATCATAAAACACATTAATTATCACTATGATTAATGGTTGTATTCACATGTATCATCATTAACTATGGAGAGATGATACATTCCATGAGTTCCATATTAGATCACAATCTGTTTATTGTGAGTATGAGTGTGTGTGTGTGTGTGGGAAAGACAGAGAGGGTAGTAAGAAGTAACTCATTCACATTTTCAGATAGATAGATATTTAGATGGATGGATGGGTTGAGGGATGGAGGAGTGTAGTGACACGCGAATTCAAACTGATGATTATATTAGATACATTGATAATTATTACTTGTAATAATCATAATGTGTGTAGGTACATTGTTAAAAGTGATTATCTTTTACATGATTCAAAGTCATTTATTATTAATCTAGGGGTTTTGGAAATTATTTCGTTTTAATTGTGATCGTGAACCGATCAACGTTAGATCACCATTGAGTATGTGGAAGCATTGGATGGCTGTTTCATCCTATTGTGGGACTCCTTAGACAGGTCTGTTGTGAGATATCAACTCACTGAAGACAATGGTGGATATGTCGCTCAATTTCGTGGATCGGTTGAAGTTTGACATTAACACCGTTGGATGCTGACCGGCTTAATGGTCTGATAGGTCGTAGGTTTGAATCTCGTGAGGTGGGATGGTGGGTGCTCATGACTGAGGGGTCCCAAATCAGGACGAAACGGCCGTTCAGTACTTCCAGATTTTCTATGACGATCTTGCTTCAATTGACTCATGATTTCAACTTTTTTCATTATGACTAATAGATGTGATATCAGTTTGAATTTTCTCAGAAAATTCTATTCATGTTTCCTATTGACATAATAATTTGATTCATTTTCTATTGATTTTGTCATATTCACCATCCATTCTCTCACTTCAATTCATTATAGATTTAACAATTTGTAACCAGTTCACACTTAACAACTAATTCTGTGTTATACAACTACTACTACCAGTGTAATATCACATGTCAACATTGGTCAACACTCCTTATAATCTTCTCCCCCATTTCGACAACATACTCACTTCCTACATACACTTTATCATCATCATCATCATCATCATCATCATCATCATCATCATCATCATCATCATCATCATCATCATCATCATCATCATCATCATCATCATCATCATCATCATCATCATCATCATCATCATCATCATCATCATCATCATCATCATCATCATCATCATCATCATCATCATCACTGTCCTCATCAACATGTTGAATACTGTGGAATATTCGAATTAATGGAACAAACAGAATTTACTTATCAATCATCAGTTGAATGTATATTCAAATCGGACGAAGACAGTCACTATCGTCTCCACTGTTTTTTTTAACCACTTCACATAACACATATAAACAGTAGCAAATTCATTACAGTTTCAATGGGACTATTAGTAATTTATTCTTCTAGTCTATTTATAATGAAATGCTCACATTCAATCATCTTGGTCATCTACAACTATACTCCCAATATTCATCTGATTCAATTCCATCTTCTACCACTCATTCCCACACACCACACACACACACACACAATGTGAGGAAGAGGAGAAGATGGATAGAGACATATTGGCATTGACCATTCCTTGATTAATAATCTACTAAACGCAATAGGATTAAATTTATTATTGCCCAAAGATATTATGCAAACTGTTTCACACTTTTGATGAATGGAGAATTTGTTTGTCTGTATGTGTGAATGATGCTGGTCATGCTGCTACTGCTACTCCTACTGCTGCTGCTGCTGCTGCTGCTAATATAAATATGTAACCAACCCTTCCTCTTAAATGGAATTTTCTCAGAGGGATATCATTTTTTGGTTTGTTTGTTTGTTCTTGTGAATATATTACTTATATCCATTTAAGTAGAATTTAGTTCCCATAGTGTTTTTTAATGAACTCAATACATCTATATATTTCATTAATGAATATTCAATATAGATATGAATATATCAGTATAATTGTATTTGTGAGTAGTTTTTAAAATGAGTAGTATAGATGGATAACAGTTTGTTTTGAAAGATAATCATTGTAGCTACTCTTCCACTAACACACACACACATTCACACACACCCGTTCACACACACACACACTTGATATCAGTCTTAGTAAAGGAGATATCAACGCAACATATATGGAAGTAGTAAATTTATCCAATATAAGATGATAAATTGTCAGTATCATTATAATTAGTATATAATGAAGTGAAATCTATCATTAATTGTTATCTATAGGGTGCCAAAATTATAGCTAAAGGGGACTACTTACTCACATACACACATACATACATACACACATACTTACTTACTTACTTACTTACTTACTTACTTACTTACTTACTTAATTACGCCTGTTACCCCTCGTGGAGGAGCATAGGCCGCCTACCAGCATTCTCCAACCCACTCTGTACTGGACCGTCCTTTCTAGTTCTATCCAACATTTGTTTATTCTTCTCATGCCTGTCTCCATTTCTCGGAGTAATGTGTTCTTTGGTCTTCCACTTTTCCTTTAGCCTTCAGGATTCCATGTGACGGCTTGTTTTGTGACGCAGTTCGGTGATTTCCTCAATGTGTGTCCTATCCACTTCCTGATTTCTTCCCCCACTGAATGGAATCTGGTTTGTTGTCTCCCACAGTAACTTCTTGTTGATAGTGTCTGGACAACGGATCTGAAGTATCTTGCTTAGACAACTGTTAATAAAATCATGTATCTTCTCCATGATGGCTTTCGTAGTTCTCCAAGTTTCCACCCCGTACACTAGAACTGTCTTGACATTTGTATTAAAAATTCTGATTTTGGTGTTGGTTGATAAACAGTTGTTTTGAGTTCCTGATGTTCTTCAGTTGTAAATATGCTGCTCTTGCTTTGCCGATCCGCATCTTCACATCTTCATGAGATCCACCGTGTTCATAAATGATACTGCCTAGATATGTAAGAGTTTTTACATTCTCCAAAACTTCTCCGTCAAGTGTGATTCGATTGATGTATATCGTGTTGTATCGCACGATCTCGCTTTTCCTTTGGTAGAACACACAAAAATGGACGACCGAAGAGTATGTATTATGTAAATACATTACAAATAAATATTTCTTCCTACTGTCGTGTTTTACAGTATAAATAATAGCACAAGATGCACATATGCCGATAACAAACTGACCGATCAAAATCCTAAACGTCAATGGGAAGATTCAAGTAAACAATATATAATGAATTTAAACTTCACTCCATTGCACAAGCAAGTGGCTATCAGAACTCAGTAACTAAGTGGATAACGAGATGACATTTGGAACGAACGGTACTAGGTTCGAGTTTCGGGGCGAACATTAACTCTGAGATGTGGCAGGTACATCCAGCTGACGAGTCTCAAATAGGACGAAACGCGCCGACTGGATTCCACCAGTAGCCATTATCCATCTTTCCTTATAATACTTATGACTTAAGGCAATATCGAAGCCACCCTCATAGAATGCACATATGCTAATAAGAGACTGATCAATGGAAGTCCTAAACATAAAACTGAAACATTCAAACAAACTATATGAAATGAATAACACTGACATTTCACTTAGTTTTGTTTGTTTGAATCTTCCCATTGATGTTTAGGACTGCAACTGGTCAGTCTCTAATCGCCATATGTGCATACTGTGAGTATTGCCTCGATATTGTCTCAATTCACAACCATTCTAAGCAAAGATGGATAGTGACTAGCAGTGAAATTCAGTTTCACGCGCGTGTCGTTCCATTTGAGACTCGTCAGCTGGATGTACTTGCATCTCAGACTTGTTGATGTTCATTCTGGGACTCGAACACAGTACCTTTAGCTTCAAACGCCATCCTGTTATCAACTTAGTTACTGAGTCCTGATATCCACTTGCTTGTGCGATGGGGTGAAATTTAAGTTCACTTAGTAGAGTGAACATCAATTATGAGATACAGATACATCCAGCTGGCGAGTCCCAAATAGGACGAAACGCGCGTCCTGGATTCCACTGCTAGCCACTATTCATCTTTGCTTACAACATTAACATTATTAATATTACTAATTTCAGTATAAGTAGTAGTATAAACTAATTCTCAATGGGAATAAATGTTAAAAATTCTTAAATTTTACAAAAAAAAACTAATCGAACTAAAGGTCAAATTAAGAAAACAAAATTTTATCATAAATATTTAATGATGTCAATTGTTTGATGATAAACTTGTGAATTCATTATTAGAAGGGGGTTTTGTGAAGATTTTAGCAATCACAACGGTTGACGTCATGAGTCAATTGAAGTTAGACCGCCATCGAAAACCTGGAAGCACTGGATGACAGTTTCGTCCTATTATGGGACTCATCAGTAGTGTGCATCCACGATACCACCTAGCGAGATTCGAACACAGGACCTATAAGTCTCGTGCGCGAACGCATAACCTCTAGACCACTGAGCCGGTCGGCATCCAACGGTGTTAATGTCTAGCTTCGACCAATCCACGAAATTCAGTGACACATCCACTAATTGTCTTCAATGAGTTACTATCTCACAAAAGACCCAGTTGAACTCTACAGGTTACTGCTTCTCACTAGAACTTCAGCAAATACCTCTTGAAGCTCGTCACTAGTGAGCATATGTTGATTATTATGAGAAGGGTTGTTTTGTGGAGACTTTAATAATTTTATATAGTTGAAATCAATTGAAGCTAGATCACCATGGGAAACCTGGAAGCATTGGACGGCTGTTTCGTCCTACTGTGGGACGCCTCAGCAGTGTGCATCCACGATCCCGTCTCGCAAGATTCATTTTTTTACTTTTGAAGTTATACATTTGAAATGTTTTATTTTCAAAGTCTGGTTTTAGTTTTTTTTTATCTAAAAGCAAGTTGATTCAATTCTATATGGTCATATCAACTGAATGCGACAATAACTTTGTAATATCATTAAAGACTGTTTAGAATGATGGAGTAGATTTGTAGCTCAAGTGGATGACTTGGATGGAATATTGTTCTTTTAGATGGATAGTGTAGTCATGAGGCTTTTATCATTCTTTTGAATGACAAGAACCGATCAATATTAAGGTCTACAGGACACTTCACTTCTACCTGAAGTTTGTTCTGATGATGTCATTCAGAATAATGATGAAAGATTCATGACCAAACTACCCAACTCACCGAACAGAACTCTAATAAAAACTCTTTAGAATATAATATAAAGTTTGTAAGCACGAAATGGAGATACAGTTTTCCGAAGGAAAATTTGTCCAAAAGTCAACTAGAAAACATGTCTAATATAGATAAAAGCCATTTTATGAATCCTGGATGCCGGCTCAGTAGTCTAGTGTTTAGTCGTTCGCACGCGAGATTGACAGGTCCTGTGTTCAAATCTCGTGGAAGTGCACTGCTGAGGAGTCCCACAGTAGGATGAAACGGCCATCTAGTGCTTCCAGGTATTCAATGGTGGTCTAGCTTCAATTGACTCATGATCTCAACTATTGAAATTATGAATGTAGGCTTATACTACTTTAAGATTATTAAGTAATATATCAATAATCTATCGATTGTACTGTTAGCTTACGTAACCACTGTAATCACTAAAAATGTAAATTTAAAAAAAAATTCAATCCAATATAGTTTAGAAATCTATCTGAATTACTTAGCTTTTAAACCATTCTCAAAAATTCAGTTGGGGTGTGTCTTACTTGTATCTTCTCATTGTTATTTAGGACTGCAATTATTCAGTCGCTTGTTGGCATATATGCATCCTATGCGAACTGCCTCGAAATTGTATAAAGTTACAAGGTTTATAAGCAAAGATGGATGGTGTCTAGCAGTGGAATCCAAGACGCGATCGAAAATCTTCTCTTTTTCTGTAACGTAAGAAGTTCATTCATACAGAAGAGCTCAATACATTAATAATTTCCTTACGCCTGTTACTCCCAATGGAGCATAGGCCACCGACCAGCATTCTCCAATTCACTCTGTCCTGGGACTTCCTTTCTAGTTCTATCCAGTTCTTGTTTATTCTTCTCATGTCTATCTCCATTTGTCGGTGTAATGTGTTCTTTGGTCTTTCTCTTATCCTTTGGCCTTCAGGATTCTATGTGAGTGCATGTCTTGTGACGCAGTTTGGTGATTTCCTCAATGTATATCCTATCCACTTCTTATTCATGAATAAGTCAACTCTTATATAATTTGGTATGAGAAGAAATTGAAAAGATTTTAGTATTTTCATAGTTAAAATGAC